CAAAGCAATAAATGTGCTGTGAGATGAACTCTTCTTGAGCAATATGGAAATGATATAAATGTGCATAAGTGCACAGCAAAAGAAACCATCAATAAAGTAAAAAGTCAACCTATAGAATGGGAAAAATATTTACAATATTTACAAACCACATATCTGATAAGGGGTTAATACAGTGATGGTGAACCTATGACACGCGTGTCAGAGGTGACACGCGAACTCATTTTTTTGGTTGATTTTTCTTTGTTAAATGGCATTTAAATATATAAAATAAATATCAAAAATGTAAGTCTTTGTTTTACTATGGTTGCAAATATCAAAAAATTTCTATATGTGACACGGCACCAGAGTTAAGTTAGGGTTTTTCAAAATGCTGACACGCCGAGCTCAAAAGGTTCGCCATCACTGGGTTAATATAAAAAATATATAAGAAACTCATACAGCTCAGATTGCAAAAAAACAAGCCAATTAGAAAATGGGCAAAGGATTGAGTAGACATGTCTCCAAAGAAGATACACGAAAGGCCAGCAGGTTCATGGAAAGATGCCCGGCATCACTAGTCATTAGGGAAATGCGAATTAAAGCCACAATGAGATGCCTGATAGGGTGCTCATCATCTAGAAGATAAGAAATGCTGGTGTGCATGTGGAGAACAGGGAGCCCTTGTGCACTGTTGGTGGGATTGCAGCCACTATGGAAAACAGTACAGGGATTCCTCAAAAAAAATTAAGAATAGAACTACCGTGTGATCCAGCAAATTGGCTTCTGGGAATATACGCAAAGGTAATGAAAACACTAAATGGAAATGATACCTGCACCCCCACGTTCATAGCAGCATTGTTTACCACAGCCAAGACATAAAACAACGTGCCATCTATAGACGAGTGGGTACAGAGATGTGATAAATATACAAGGGAATAGTACCCAGCCATAAACAGCGAGGACTCCCACCATTCAGAACAACATGGATGGACCTTGGAGGTGTTAATGCTAAGTGAAATATGTCAGACAGGGAAAGACAAATACTGTCTGCTCTCACTTATACGTGGAATCTTAAAAAAAAACAACACATAATAAAAAGATCAGATACCCCTGGAAGTTATAGGACAATTAAGAAATCTTTATGTTTATTTGATTGATTGTTATTTTAAGTTTCATCAGGCTGTCTGTAACTTGCGTCAGTTGGATTTTAGTAGACGCTTATAGACATCATTTGCAAGGCATATGTTTATTAGCTTGGATATCAGTGACATATAATCACTGGCTTTCTTAGCACCATTCCCATTTTCATACCGTAGCTGTACTTTATAATGAAACAAGCAAATAAAATGCCTCATATGAGAATGCTGCTTTATGCAAACTCAGTATACCATAATTCTGACATACAAAGCAGATAAATTAAGGGGTGATTAGTAGCAGAACGAAAGGATTCTTTGATTTACAGCAGGATTCATCAGAAGGGTTTCTTTGAATACAAGCTCCCCCAGAGAGCTGAAGTGTTTTGCAGATCATTCAAACCACTTGACATCCAAACTGGGCGTCAGAGAAACTTGGAATTTAAGTGTTGAAAAGCCATTGTTAATGGAAGATTAACAGGAAATGAATATAGAGCTTCTCTGTTACTTAAATAATAGAAAAATACAGGGTGTCCCTAAAAAATGTATACACACTTTAACAGCTGATAACTCAATTTTGAAAGTGAAATGTATTTTAGTAAACACTTCCTTTATAATTATTCAAAGTGTGTATACATTTTTGGGGACATCTTATATAATTTGCTTTTTAGAAATTTTGATAGCCTAAATATGGCTGTCAGAAATAATACTTCCCATTATTTATGGAGCACCTATGATATGCCAGGAACCATATAGAACTCAGTGTATATATTATTTTATTTTTATTGAATCCTGCTAATAATCTTATAAGAAAGATTGCTTCCATCCCACAAATGAGGTACTGTGCAAAGCATTTTAAATACATCTTACTTAACTGCTGTGAGGAATAAATAAGGCATCATAGTCAAGACACCTGGCCAAGTGCATGGCACATAGTAGGACACTCACCCACGTGGAGATCCGCTTTGATACTGATGCACAGTAGGGTGTGCGCTATTAAGGCCAAGTGGGTAATTGAGTGTTGTAGAGGGTAGGAGAAGGAGTGATCAAGTGGACTGGTAAATGAAAGAGAGAGCTGGATCAGATCGGGAGAAGAACCCAGATGACTTGTCAGTGACGTACTATCGGTCATTCTTTTGAGAGCCCATACCTCTAGTTATATAGTAGAAGGCCTCAGAGACCCACTATGCTTCACTAACAGTGAAGTCTTCCCATGCGTCACCCAAAGGATACTGCACTTACGATGTGTCTGATGCAAAGCAATAAGCGATGAGCTGGTCTCTGTCCCTGTGACACAAGTCTCTTTGGCAATGCTGGTTTGACCAGTGCCTACCCAGAGGGCTCAGTGTAACTCGGGACTTGCAGCCATGTTTGGCGAACCCACTCTTTGACTTGGGTGTCTCCAGAAGCTGACCTGGAGATAATGATTGGCCCTAAGTGGGTTTTATTTGGACATGACCCTGGGAAGCATTATAAAGGAGTAGGGAAATGAGATAAGAAATGAAGGAAAGCCAATAAAAGTGTTGATAAGAGGATTTCCACTGTGGGCAACTGAGCTCACTCCCCAGGGGACCCTCTAAAAAACTGTGTAGGGTTAGAAAGCCAGGGTACTTAACCTTCCTACTCTCATGCTTCTTTGGTGGAGGGTGTACCGCCCAGGCATTAACTGCCCAGCACTCTGCCCTCAGGTGGAGCAATGCAGAGGTGTGAATGGCAACTGTCCAGAAAGCTAAGTGATGGGGGAGGGAGGGGACAGGTAAAAGGGTGGGGGCATCTGGCAGGACTCCAGCAGCACCTGCTAAACCCACCTTCATATATTAAAGACATTCAAGTTCTTAAATCTTCATTTCATATTTGAAAATCCTTAAAATAAATCGCCATCTTATCCCAAAATAGGACATTTCTTTACTATTGTTAATATATATTTTAAAAAAGTATGTTTTGTTGATTTCAGAGAGAGGAAGGGAGAGAGAGATAGAAGCATCAATGATGAGAGAGAAATATTGATTGGCTGCCTCCTGCACATCCCCTCCTGGGGATCGAGCCTGTAACCTGGGCACTTGCCCTGACCGGAAATCAACCCTGAGCTTCTGGTTCAAGGGTTGGCTCTCAACCAGCCGGTCAATGTTGTTAATATTTTATATTTCCTGAGTAGGTGCTGCTTGCTTTCCTCAATCTCTGTGTCACTGTAAATATTTTCTTCCAGGTGGCCTTTATTGTACTTTTGCTTTAGACTTTGCGGACAACTTTAGATATTTGTTACGTGGATAGTGGCAGGAGTAATATTTATGACCCACCCCTGTCAAGTCTTAAAATAAAATCTAACACTGGAAAGTACAGATTAGGCAACAGAATCCTTTCTGAAGGGTTCAGAAGACAAAATGAAGTAAGCTAATGGAATTCTCAAAGGAACCTGATACACTAGAGAATTCATGAAGCTCTGATTTATCATAATCCATCTTGTGCTTTTAGTAGAATTTGAAAATTACTCCAACGTACCATACTGTTGCTGACTATTGACATGTCATTTCTCAGGATATGTTTCTGGCTGAATTTGTTTGCAACTGACTTTCTGGAAAATTTACTAGCAGGCTGTTCTTAAGTTCTCCCCTAATCTTTTATTCTTTTCTGAGATGTTATTGATTTCATTTTCCTGAACACAATTTTTTATGGTAATATCTGTGCAGGAGCAATTTGCTGTGGTTCAGGGAACTGGATTCTTATGGGCATTTGCCTTAGTAATGTGATTATGGAGTCACTAAGTTGATCTTAACCACATTTGCCTATTACGGTGTATTAGATGAATGAAAGGAAAGCTGTGCTTTCTAACTCAGGATTACCCTTGTGTATCTCCCTTGGTTGGTAATGCCTGGCAAAATTAATGTCCAGGTGATTTTGAGTGGCTGTTTGTATTATTTGAAACTAGTTAGGATTACATCCCAATATTATCACTGATGTTGCCTGCAGAGAGTAAATTACTTTTTTGGTACACCTTAAGAAACTTTTAAATCATCGATTCACAACATTTCATAAACTAGCCATCCTGCACTTAATCAGATGCTGTTTTTACTCCGCTGTGGCTGCAGGAGGCAGCATGATACAAAAAGCTTAGGATCTACAGTCAGAGAGCAGGGGTTAGGATCTGAGGGCCTCACTCGTACCTGCTGAACTAGGGCTGCGTGAATCAACCGCTCCCATCCTCCGTTTCCTCATCTCTTCGAGACAGACTGACAAAACAGCATCCCTCTTCCAGTTTCCTACTTAAGTATTGTAACTGCTCCTCCTCACTAAAAACCTTAGTTTGTTTTTAAAAGATTTCCCCTCCCTTCTTAAAGCAGACAGTAGTCATATACAAAGATAGTCTTGTCCACAGAAAGACTTGTGTGGGATGATTACTAGTAGCTTTATTCATAATATCCCCAAACTAGAAACAAGGCAAATATCCACCAGTAGGAAAATGAATAAGCCAATTGTAGCATCTCCATGCAATGGAAATGTACTCATCAGCAAAAGGGAAAGTAAACTATGGATCCATGCAACAACTTGGATGAATCTTACAGACATTATGTTGAGCAAAAGAAGCCAGACATCAAAGAGGGCATATTGTCTGATCCCTTTCACATGAAGTTCTAACACCAGCAAAACTCCTTTGCGGTGATAGAAATACACCTATCGCCTCAAAGGAGGGTTTTGAAGGAAAGAAGCATGATGGAACTATTGGGGGTGATAGAAATGTTGCTGTGTCTTGCTTTGGGTAAAAACTTATTGAACTGTGCAGTTAAATCAAGTGTTTTATTGTATACAAATTATTCTTCAGTTCAAATAAAAGACAACTCACCCATCTGTTAAATGTTTAATTTTCTAATGACCAGTTTTGGGGATTCTTAGGACGCAGTGACCATCTGTACGCTGGGAATTGGAACGGCCTTTGGAGAGTCCATTCTGGACAACACTCCCCGCCATGCAACCATCGTTACCAGGGAGAGCAGTGAGCTGCTCCGCATCGAGCAGAAGGACTTCAAGGCTCTCTGGGAGGTGAGCCCCAAGGCTTCTTTGTCCATTAATGTGGTTGTGGGGGGGAAAGGGGGGCTGCCACGTGGATAATGGCATTACAGTCGGGCCTTAATGTGTTCTGTTCTGAGCTGGTGGATGGAATTTAATTTCAAAACTTGTTTTTGAAATAAGGGAGTGAAAAAGCCATTTTGACACAAGCCATCTTTTTTTTTTTTAATTTAGTGCTTGCTCAATTTTCTGTAGTTTGACATACCTTATAATTATTTCTTGAATGACCATAGATGTTTTATGTATTTCTCCCCTCCCTATTCCACAGATGTGTTCTTAAGCAGGGAACAAAATACTTTGACATTTTCTTTTGCATTTTAAAAATCATCATTGACATATTCCCTGGTAAAGTGGAATGAATGGGGTTAACATCTGCTTCATCTAAATGCTTTTTAAAAACGATGTGCCCATAATAAGGTATGAGAAATGAGGGACATAAAGATGTCTGGTTAGTTGCCAACTTCAAAATGCTTAGGTGGCACAGCAGTGGATGGATGCAACTGGTCCTGGTGGCTTTTGCCTTTACCGCTGCTTACCAGTGCCCTTAGGGTATTGCACTCATTTCTCAGAAGTGTGGGGAACAAATCATCATATACAGCAATGGCAAGTGGAGCACTTAGAAAGGCCCAGCTAAGCCTTGCATCTTTCACGCTCATTCCTTTTCAGTTCTTCAAGCTTCTGATTTTAACCTGCGGTTGTTCCTTATCTTTGTCCTGGGCTCAGTGTGTCCAAGTGTCAACCCATTGAGCTGGCAGGCTTCGCCACTTGTGGCTAAGATTTTAAACTTGATCTAAAAAGAATTTTGTGTAATCAAATCGTTTCCTCCGGAGCCAAACAAATGACGGATGCATTAAGGGAGCAAGCCTGCCGGCGAATGAGGGATGCTTTGCCTTAAAAGTCCTGCAAAGCCTTGGAGGGCCTTGGTGGTGAAACCTGTTACTTTTATTCTTGGCAGTAGTGAATAAATTGCAGGGTTACTTGTTTGAAATGCTTCCCTTAGAAAATATTAAAGAGCTCCAGCAGCTCTGTAAAGTTCAGAGACAAAAGCTAGTTTTAGGAAGGCAACGCTGAAGTAGGTTTGCATGAGGTGTGTGTGGAGAGGTTTTCTGTCAATTAAAATGGACCAGGCTTGAGGCAAACAAGCCATTTTTTGGATCTTTCGGTTTAAAAGGTAAACTGAAAAAGTCTGTTCCCAAAAGGAAATTCAGAAAACCGGTTTAAGAACAAAAAAAAGCTTCCTACCTGTGATGTGTGTCATTATAGCTGCTTTCTGTCTGTGATGACTGAGTCAAACTGCTGATGGTGATTTGGAGAAATATTAAAAACTTACTGTAATTAGGAGCCCTCAGGCTGTGAAGGCAATTCCTGAGAAATTGCTACCTGGGAATATTAAAAATATATATATTTGAAAACATTTTAAAACCTCACAGAAAATAAAAAAGAATAATATGATAAACAACTGTATACCTGTACTTAGTTCAACAAATGTTAACATACAGCCATATTTGCTTCATATTTGTTGTTTTTGGAACCACTTTAATGTAAATGACAGACATCGTGACATTTCATCCTAAATATTCAGCATGTATATATGAAAAATTAGACTATTCTGTGACATACCTATACCATTATTTCACCTGTGAAAGTAACAATATCCTAATATCATCTAATACCCACTCTAGAGTTCAAATTTCCTCAGTTGTTCCATAAACATTTTTTACAGCTGCCCAAATCAGGCTTGCTTTCTCTCTCTCTCTCTCTCTCTCTCTCTCTCTCTCTCTCTCTCTCTCTCTTTCTTGTTTTAATCCTCACCTGAGGGTATTTTTTTCCATTGCTTTTCAGAGGGATGGAAGAGAGAGAGAGAGAGAGAGAGAGAGAGAGAGAGAGAGAGAGAGAGAGAAAGAAACATCTATATGAAAGACGCACATTGATTGGTTACCTCCTGCACTTGTCCTAAGCAGTACCTGGGATTGAACCTGAAACCTAGGTATGTGCCCTTGATCTGGAATCAAACCCATGACCCTTTGCTGCATGGGCCAACACTCTAACCGCTGAGCCATACCAGTCAGGGCTCTGTTTTCTTACTCTTTTTCTCTTCATGGCATTGACTAGTTTATAATTCAGCTATTTATTACTCTGGTAAAAATATCTGTTAGCAAATCTGTCAGCCAAATACCAAAAGGGAAAGATCATGAACGGAGGGATTACATAGCTTCGGAATTCAGGTAGAAGCCTCACCAAACTGTGAGATGGAAGAAAGAAGGCAGTAGACAGATAAGCTGGACAGTGCCTGTCCCGTTGGCAAGGGAAGGAGCTCAGTGTTAGGCCTTAGGCTGTGAATAGTAAATATTAGGTGACCTGCATCATGGGTCTAACTGTGCATGGTCATCGCATCTGATTATTTACTTTTGAGGAATGCCATGGTCGGCCCATTGTATGGCAGCAACTTTATATTTGGCTGTATCCTTGTCTATGTCCTTGATGTCACTTACTTTTATCAAACACGAGAATCAGGAATCTGGTTACTTCTTCTAACTCTGAAAATTGTGGTCCCTACTACTAACAGGTAGCACAGTCTAAAAATAGCTCTCTAATAGGCTGAACAAATAGTCTATTTTAAATCTTACACTTGGACTTGAATGGCAGCACAGAACTGGGGAATCCTGCTTCCTTTCCTGACCAAAGGCCAATTTCCCTGGCTCTCTACTGGTAGATACACACTCGAAACTCCATGTGAGATTTTGACTCCTATTCAATTTCAGCCCAAATACCTCTTGGTTTATATTGTCTGTTATGTTGTAAGTCAAATTAGTAGCACCCAGATTATTTTTAAAAAATCATCATAAATCTGATTGGGAGAATTTTTCAATAGTTTCTACAAATGCATAAAATTAAACAAATACTCCCCAGACATAACTGAGGTAGCAGCTTCATGCTTTTCTTTGCACCTTACACCTTTCCTAGTGAAAACTACTTTCTTTTTTTCTCCATGTTTCAATTGCCAATGTGTGGTCGGATCTGAGGGCGGTGGGTTGCTCCATCTTAAAGTTAGCTCATATTTTCTTAGCTTAAGTGAATTATAGGAAATTTATTGAGTTGGTCAATAATGCTTCCCTCTTTTCACACCTCTTTGATATTAGAACTTAATAAAATATATTAACGGGTATAAAATATGTCATTTTTCAGTAGCATCTTGAAAGAGAGAGGGAGAGGAAGGGAAGGAGGAAGGGAGGGAAGAAGAGGGGAGGGGAAAATATAGTTATGTTTCTGATTTCATTCAGAAGAAAATTAATTTAAAAGTCTTGGAACATCACTTTTAGTTCTTGAGGTAATTATAATTCAAGCTCCTTGGCACTGGTGGCATTGTGTACCCGCAGGAAGGAGGCGAAATGGCAAAGTAGTGAAGTGTAGGCTTGGGAGTTTTAAGCCACTTATTAATATTTGATCCAAGATTGTGGGTTATTTATGATTGTTATTGGCCTTCGGAATAAATAAAAGACTGATTTGTTGTCCAATTACATGAATTTATTCTCAGCACGTAATGGTATAAGAAGGTTTTCAATGGTTAGAACAGCAAACGAGGGATTTTTTAGTTTTCTTTCTGACTTTCTGTCCATTGCTGTGTCTGCATAAAGATGCTTTCAGCTTTGCAGCATGCTTGGGCTTCTTTACATGGACTGTTCCAAATACAGGACATGGAACGAGGAGATGAGTCCAGTGTGTTCAGAGAAGTAGATTAGAAAGGCACGCTCGAACAGATCCATAAAAGATAGGACCGAGAGGCCCTTGAGCTAGTGGTCTGCCACCTGCTGCCCTGTGCTTCAATGGCATGCACATCATTCTGGACAAAAGCTTTCCTTTGCTATGAGCCCTGTTTGAGCATGTTCAAAACAACTACATATTACATATGTTTGAATAAATTATTTGAAAGTTTAAAGACAGCAATAAAACTACAGTCTTTAAAAGCAATATTTTAAATTGGTAATCTGACCCATATCACAATAAAAGCTGTAATTGTTACCCAGAAACTTCTTGTCACACTATTGTGATTTTATTTTAACCAGGGCAAACCATGTCCCAGAGAATCATTGCTCGGATGTAATGATTTTTTAAAATGTTTATTTTTTATTTTTTATCTATAATTGACTATAACATTATATTAGTTTCAGTTGTACAACATGATGATTTAATGCTTGCATATATTGAGACATGATCACCACAATGAGTCTAGTTAGTATCCATCACCACACATAGTGACAATTTTTTTCTTGTGATGAGAACTTTTAAGATTTTCTCTCTTAGCAATTTTCAAATATACAATGCAGTATCATCATTAACCATAGTCACCATGCTTTACATTATATGTCACCATTTATTTTATAACTGGAAGTTTGTACCTTCTGACCCCCTCCCCCCATTTGATCCACCCCCCACCTCCTGCCTCTGGCAACCACCAGTCTGTTCTCTGTAACAGAAGTAATGCTTGATAAAGTAAGTCTATTGCCCAGATATGTCTGTGGCCTCAGTAAATATTGTTGACTGAGAAAAAAATCTGCTTTATGGGATATAAAGCTGAATGGGAAAAATAAGAGGTAAGTTCATGTTTCTGTCTTAGGAAAAGAAAGCAGTTTGTAAGCAGGGATATTTCTAAGATATATTTGGTCCTCACACGAGGATATGTTTTTATTGACTTTTTTTAGAGAGAGAGGAAGTGTGTGTGTGTGGGGGAGAGAAACATAAATGTGAGATAGAAACATCAATTGTTTTCTATCGTACATGCCCCAACCAGGGATCGAACCTGCAACCTAAGTATGTGCCCTGATTGGGAATCGAACCTGCAACCTTTCTGGTGCACCAACCAGCTGAGCCACCCAGCTAGAGCAGTGAATATTCTTGAAGAAACATTTTGCATCTATCTCTAGTCCCTACTTTTCAGAGTTCTTTTTTGTCTCGATTCTCCCAGATGTGTTGGC